AAGGTGCCACTGGACTTCTTTGGATTGCTATCTGGGGGGGGGGGGCTCTGCAACTTACCTGGCTGCTCTTTGCGGCCTGGGGCTGCTGGGAGCAGGGGGTGGGGCTTGTTGCATGTGCCCGCCCCCTGGGCTCTTTACTGCCGGAGCTCCACTCCTGTGCACTCCTGCAGGAAATGACCCCTGGTTCTGATAAGAGCTGTCCTTGAAAGGGCAGTTCTGGAAAGTGCTCTCTCAGCCCCACCTACCTCACAGGGTGTCTGTGCTTAAGTGCGTGGACTCTGATCTGGGAGAACCGGATTTGATTCCCCACTCCTCCACTTGCACCTGGCTGGATGACCTTGGGCAAGCCGTAGTTCTAATAAGAGCTGTCCTTGAAAAAGAGCCGTTTCTGTCAGAGCTCTCTCAGCCCCGCCTACCTCACAGAAGGGTGTCTGTTGTGTGGAGGGGAAGGGAAAGGAGTTTGTAAGCCGCTCTGAGAAGGGCCATGGGGTATAAATCCAATCTCTTCTACTCCTACTCCTCCTCTTGTTCTTCTTCTTCTTCTCTGCAAGGTGCCCATGATCAGCGGCCGAGGCCTGGGCCACACCGGAGGCACTCTGGACAAGCTGGAGTCTGTGCCGGGTTTCAAGGTGTCCCAGAGTCCCGAAAAGGTGAGATGCTTCGGGGGGGGGGTGTGCACACCAGCTGTGGATTGGGGGATACCTGTGGATTTGGGGGGGTGGAGTCTGAGGAGGGCAGGGTTTGGGGAGGGGAGGGGCCTCAGTAGGGTATAAGGCCACAGAGTCCGCCCTACGAGGCAGCCCTTTTCTCCAGGGGAGCTGATCGTGGTCGCCTGGAGATCAACGGCAATAGGAAGAGATCTCCAGGGGCCAGCTGGAGGTTGGCAAGCCTATCCAAGGAGGCAGTGGGTGGTGGTCTAGGGCCTTTGTGGGACACGCCGGACTCCAAGGAGCTGGTCAAGGACTGGACGGAGGCTGGTGAGAGGCTTTCGAGCATCCCCTCCAAGGATACGGAACAAAGCCATTGGCTGAGACTGCACAAAAGCCCCTTTCAGTTCAGCCAAGTTGGTGCACCACCGGCATGGTTAGCCTCCCCCATACACCCCTGAAAAGTACGCAGACTGAGAGTGATTTCAGCAAAGCATACTTTATTCGATCAGGAACAAGACGACTTTGGCCGGCTCGCAGGCCGGCTTATATCCCCCGAGAAACCGCCACCCGAAACACACCCCCTACGTCCCTATAGGTTATTTACAGTGGCCAAGAGTCCCATGGGCTCTCGGCCGGGAACCTAGCTCCCTGATTGGAGCGGGCTAGGATCCGCAGAGTCCACTGTCTCTTGGAGCGAATCTCAACATTTGTCTCTGGACTTGTCTGGACTTGTCTGGACTGGATCCATTACAATCCCCCAAGGGAAAGGCGACTGTAAGCCGCTCTGAGACTCTGACTGAAGGGCGGGGTATAAATCCACTCTCTTCTTCTTCTTCATGAACCCCCAGAAGGCGTACAAACAGGGTGTGAAGGCATTTATCGCTGACTCCTCTCAACCAACGCTCCCTCTAAAGATTTGGCGTCTTGTGAGCAAAAAATCCTACTTTGTGAGCTGCTGGCATTAAAGTTGTGAGCCAGCGATTGGGCTGCTGCATAAATGAGTTTGCTCTGGAGCCCTCCTCCCTGAGCGAAGGCAAAAATGTGTGAGCCAGAGGCTAAAAAAAACTGTGAGCTAGCTCACACAAACTCAGCTTAGAGGGAACACTGCTCTCAACTGTGCTTTTTATTCAAAGATATACTGCTTCTTTGCATGGAGGTTTCACAGAACGCTCTCGCAGGTCATGGCCATTGATTTGCCTTCCATCCATGAATCTGTCCAGGCTTTAACAGCTGCGTCAGAACAAGCGGTCGACACCTGCACACGTTTTGGACAGTTGGGTAAAGGTCCAGACTGAGGAGGGGTGCCGGGGGAAGAAGAGGAAGAAGAAGAGAAGAGATTGGATTTATACCCCATGGCCCTTCACTACCCGAAGGTGTCTCAGAGCGGCTTACAGACTCCTTTCCCTTCCCCTCCCCACAACACACCCCCCCTGTGAGGTCGGTGGGGCTGAGAGAGCTCTTGACAGAAACTGCTCTTTTTCAAGGACAGCTCTTATGAGAACTATGGCTTGCCCAAGATCATCCAGCCAGGTGCAAGTGGAGGAGTGGGGAATTAAACCTGGTTGTCCTAGATTAGAGTCCGCACACTTAACCACGACACCAAACTGGTTCTCTAACCAAACTGGCACAGGGAGTCTCAGAGCGGCTCACAAACTCCTTTCCCTTCCCCTCCCCACAACAGACACCCTGTGAGGTAGAAGAAGAAGAAGAAGAAGAAGAAGAAGAAGAAGAAGAAGAAGAAGAAGAAGAAGAAGAAGAAGAAGAAGAAGAAGAAGAAGAAGAAGAAGAAGAAGAAGAGGAGATTGGACTTATCCCCTCCACCCTTCACTACCCGAAGGGGTCTCAGAGCGGCTTACCATCTCCTTTCCCTTCTCCACAATAGGCATCCTGTGATGGAG